AGACCAGAGGTCAGTTGTTAATGACACAGATGACTGGGTCTCCAGTTTCTCCAAAACAGTTTCCTTGACCTTGATTACCAACTCTGGAATTTGTCTATCAGAAACCATTTTTCTAGAGATTGGTGTGTATTTACTATCCATAACTTCAAGAAAGTGTTTAAAATGTCTGTTTTCCACAAGTGAGAGAGGCAGACAACACCCAATGATCAAATCTTGGACAATGGCTTGACTGATGGCTTGTTGCCTTGGTGATTGTGGGCTGTAGAGCTGCACTTTCTGCGTAAATAATGAAATTGATGGCTGTGTGACTGTGACATCATTCTGTTGCCCTGCCTTGTATTCCAGGAACCTAAAAAATGCAAAGGAGGAATCAGTATATCTGGTCATGAACATCAATTACATCAAAAGAACACTTAAAAATAAGTAGCAACTTCATAAATGTATGTCAAATATATCCTCCATTGTTTATCATAAGCAAAAATTAAACTTAGAAAAATCTAACAAAGTTAAATTGGGTCCTCTGGATGGGTTTAAACAATAAAAAATTATACAAATGTTTTGTCTTTCATCCAAAAGACTTCTTCAATATGAGGAGCTATATTAAACTCAAGAGCTACATTTTCAGGCCAGGACTCTGCGGTCTACACTCATCTCCAGACCAGCGGTCACTCTTTCAGGGATGAAGATGTTCACATCCTTGATAGAGAGGAACGATGGTTTGAGAGAGGAGTAAAGGAGGCCATCTTTGTGAAAAGAAACCGTCCATCTTTAAACAGAGGTGGAGGCCTCCGGGTTCAACTGTCCCCCTCTTACAATGCTGTGATTGCTAGTATCACTCAGCCCCCGGTGAAGGCAAGCAGCCATCAGGGTACTAACAATCCATCATTAGGCTGATGGTCCTCCTTGAACATGTGAGCAGCTAGTTTCATCAACAACAAACGGTTGGTCCACTGTGAGGAGGCACTATTTATAGGGCTGAGCTGAATGCAGCTCCTCAGCCTGAGGAAGTCTTTCGGACGAAAGACGAAATGTTTCTACCTTTTATTTTTACTTTTTTAACACGCCCAGAGGACCTGATTTAACTTTTTAAGATTTTTCTACCTGGGTGATTGAGCATGCATCAGGACATATTAAACACAGTTAGCACCTTCTCACAGTGGATCAACCAGTTTGCCAAATATGCTAAGGGAGACCATCAGCCTAACAATGAATCGTTGGCACCCTGATGGTTGCTTGCTATTCACAGGGGGCTGAGTGATACTAGCAATATCAGCGATGTAAGAAGAAGACAGTCCCTCTTACAATGAAGTCTTTTGTTAAGAAGTCAAGTAGTCTTTTGGATGAAAGATGAAACGTTTCTACATTTTGTTACCACATGCCCTGTCCCCTCAGTCTCTCAAAGTTAACAGTGAATTTGTCCTTATGCATGCTCAATAACCCAGGTAGAAAAATTTAGAAAAGTTAAATCAGGTCCTCTGGGAGTGTTAAAAGAAAAAAAAGGTAGAAAAAAGCTGTGCAGATAATATTCTACTTTTTTTCTTTTAACACACACTCAGAGGACCTGATTTAACTGTATGTAAACAGTGAATTTGCTTACTTCCCTTAATATGTTAATTATATCAGTGTTATAAAGTAAAACTCATTTAAGGGCTAAACAAAGCGGGTCTGAGTCTGACACACATTAATTAATTTAGATGTATTTAGATTTAATGTCGATGAATTACTTTTTCAACTTTTTGTCCCTTATTTTAGTATTTGTGATGCATGCTTTGGTATTTGTTGTTGTTATTTTTTTGTTTGTTTTTGGCGAGTCAAGACTGTTTTTCTCATCCTAAGCAATTCACTGCATTGTTGTCGACCTTGTGTTGATTTTGCATATGACAAATAAACCATACTTGATAAAACGTTCTGTTTGTATTGTTCTTGGAAGAGAGGCAGATTGATAACGTTAACTAGCTAGCTTTACTAGCATCACTTACACAAAGCTGCGGCGCTTACCTTTCTTTGTGCTTCCTTTCCAGGTGTCGATAAAAGTTGGATGTAGTCCCGACAGAAACATACTCTTTGTGACTCAAATAGCCAAACTTTATAACAGCAGATTTAGAAGACATCTTCTCTTGTTCTAAACACAAACAAGTCTAACTTTTCTTCCCTGACGCTTGCGAGTGAAAGGAGGTGGGCTCGGTGTTGCCAGATAGAGTCGAGATTTTCCAGCAAAAAATCGGTTAAAAACCGCAACATCACACAAAAACCTGCACAATCTATATTTGTTACAGTATATTTACTTTTTGAACACAAACCCACATCAGTACAAGCCAAGGTAATTTAACAATATGTGGCAAAACGGAACAGTCCAACAAAAATCTTCCCAGAGTTCCCAGCAAAATCAGAACGAAAACTGGCCAATTGGCAGTAAACCACCCAATCTGGCAACACTGGAGTGGTAACAAAAACATGTAGCTAGCTGCTATGAGTCACGTTATCGCTTGAATTTGAATCGGTATGTTTTGCATCCAGTAAAAGCAAAGATGTTAACAAATAAACTGGACAATATTCTGGCAATTTAGTGATATTTTCACAGTTGTGGTCTTGACTGGTCTTGAAAAAAAATCCCGAGTCCTCAATGTCCGAGACCGTGACAAGACCGAGACCAAATGCGGTCGAGACCGAGACGAGACCGAGACCGTCAAAAAGTGGTCTCGAGACCGGTCTCGAGACCAAGACCGGTCTCGAGTACTACAACACTACCTCCAAGAAAGATTTCAACTGGGACTCAACTATTTTCCCAGTAGTTTTGAGACAAATGGAAGTCTAGAGACAAGTCTAAAATTGGACACCATTTGAGGGGTCAAGGTTAGGATGTTTCAGCAGAGGATGAACAGCAGCATGTTTAAAACTTTTTGGCACCACACCTGAGGATAGACTACTATTCACAATAGAGAGAATAGAGGGACCCAGAATAGGAAAGACCTCCTTTAGAAGTAGAGGGGGTACAATATCAAAGGGGGAACCAGATGGTTTCATGCTGCACATTACCTGCTCCAAAAAGACTGAGATATGGGCTCAAAGTGGTCAAATACAGCTTACACAGTGAGATGAGATGGATGGAATGAGCTGGTTGAGAAATGAGTGCCCGGTGTTCACAATTTTTTTTTTAAAGAAATGGAGAAAGTTGTCACACGGTTTAGTTGAAGCTTCCAGAGGTGAAGGTTCAATGAGATGAAGAACTGAGTTCAGCATGGAAAAAAGAACTCTGGGGTTTTGTGAGTTGGAGACAATATCAGAAAAATATTTAGATTTAGCAACTTATACTGCTTTCTGATAACTCCAACTCTCTTTTAGCATTTGAAAAGAAACATGCAGCCTGTCTTTCCTTCACTTGCACTCCGCCCTCCTGCACTGCTGTCTTAACAGCTTGAGTGTCGTCATTCAGCCAAGGTTCTGATCTTAGTTTCGGCTGTCTGGTTTTAACTGAGGCCACACGGTCCAAAACATTTAAATGCACAGAATGAAGTTCAAGTGTTAGATCCTCAGTGGTGGAAGAGGGCTGCTCCATCGGCCCTCAGTGATAATAAGTTTGTTATGACTATAAGTTTATGACGTATAGCTGCTAGATTGGCCATTCCATCTGCCACAGCTCTAATTTGTGCTTAACGTTTAGTGATCACCGTTAACAATAAATCTGCTAAATGTCAGCCTTTTGTACTCAGTATTTTGTCTCTTTGGACTTGTTCATGATAAGGTTATTTTATGATTTGATGTCTTCACTGTACAATGTGAGTATTCTTTCTATAGTATGTCTTCTTCAAAGACCAACAACTAATCTTTATTGAAGTTATTTTCTTTTTTTATTGATGCTGCATTTTTCCAAGACCGAAATGTCATCCTTAGATGTAACTACTGAACTGTTGGATGTTACTCTTCACTGATGTGTTCAAATAGCTTTTTCTATGTTAACCATCTTGTACTTTTGATGTTTTTGATGTTACACAGTCATTTGTGATAGTCATTCTACTCTGATCATAGTAAACATAAACTGAAGGTCCTCCACATACGCCTCAGCTAAGCCAGTTTTTCAGTAAGTGGGTCCCACTGTGTCTCACCATATTAAAAAGAAAACACTTTTCCAGCACAATGTGTAGCATTAAAAGCGCTAATGACATGCAAACTCTGCTGGATAAAAACATCTATATTTTCCACGGCAGGGTACAGACTGCGGTTAATGCCTCGCAGGGGAACTTTGAAACCAGATGGAGCCTATTCCACACAAAACATCATGAAAAGAACAGGGAGAGGAGGGTGGCATAAGGGGGATCTGGGACAATTGCTGATATACTTGGCAATTTTCCACTCTTGAATTTATTGTGAGGTTTAACATCAGCGAGCACACGTCTGCGTTCACACGGGTCGTACAGCAGGAGCCACTGTGCAATATTGTGGTGCAGAAGTAAGTCATTTTTGATTGGGTTCAGTAATAAGACTGAGGTTATTAGATTTTATGTTTTTGTGGTGGAGTTGTTGGAGATTTAAAAGGAAGGAGAGAGCTTGGGACCAACTGACTACATCAGCTTCTTAGAGGGTGTCATGGACAGTCGGCTCGTCATGTTTCTTCCTGAAGCATTTCTAATATTAGAGTAGCCTCAGGCTACTTCCGCAGAACGCTCTCCCGCTCACACATGTTGCCACAATACAAGACTGATGTGTTGTGTCTCTGGCTTTGGGGCAAGTTATGAGCTCAGGATGTCTTTTTACCCACAACAGTACAGACAGGTGATGACAGGTCGTTTTGAGACAATTTGTGAGTAATGGTAAGGTCAAAACTGCAACACTGGGCCTGTCTGTGCACTTCTCAACAAGCTCTTAACATTACATATTTTCAGCAAAAGGAACAGAGGTGAAGGTAGCACTATGTTAAGTTAATCTAATACTAAGTTAATCTTTTGTAGATGTATATGTGTATGTTCACAAGGTTGCTGAGGTTGGTTTTGTTCTCGTTCCAGCTTACACTCAGATTCAGCCTCACTCGCTGGTTCAGCAGCACAAGCAGCAACAGTTTGTGGTCCAGCAAAGTCAAGGTTCCCAAAGGACGACAGGCCAGCTGCTGCAGACTGCCTCCATTCAGCCGTCACAGCACCCCGTCCCCGTTCTGCCTAAACCTGCTCATCACCAGCCCTCCACTCCCAGCCAGCAGGCCACCATCTTCCACTCCACCATCAGTCCCCATGCCCTCCACTCCTCACTCAACCACGCCAAAGCTCAGCCTGTCCAGCTCACTGCCATCAATCTACAAATACAGCCAACGGTACGTGCACATACCTCAAGAAATGTTTTCTGTTATTTGCATTTACTGTATGGAGCGTTTATTTGTATCTATCTTACATCTCATTACATTTGGTGTTTTAGTAGTAGTTATTAAAATATTAGCCTTTTGGTTTTTGGGGAAATAAAAATAAAAATGTTCAGAAGAAACTTTCTCTTTATGGATACTCCTTGATTTACTGCTGGTGTAGATTCTCATTCATTCAGAACATGGTTAAATCCAAAAAGTTTATATATAAAAAAAAATCAAAACAACTAGACTTCTGTAGCTGAACATGTTGTGCTTCCCATCTGAGAATCTTTCGCATTTCAAAAACTAGAGCGTGTGGATGTCCAAGCTTTTAAGTGCATGAGATGCTCGTGTCTTCGACTATAGAATTAAAGTCGTTTGTTTTTAAAAACTTTTTGGATTTCCTTGATTTACTACTACTGGCAGACATTCCTCCTTCATATCATAATTACAGTTTTATGACATATTTGCGGGCAGCACGGTGGCGCAACTGGTAGAGCTGCTGCCTCTCAGCGAACAGGTCCCTGGTTCAAAACCCCGGTCCAGGTGCCTTCTGGGTGGAGTTTGCATGTTCTCTCCGTGCATGCGTGTGTTTTCTCCGGGTACTCCGGTTTCCTCCCACAGACCAAAAACATGCATGTTAGGCTGATTGGTAACTCTAAATTGTCCCTAGGTGTGAGTGAGAGTGAATGGTTGTTTTTCTCGTTTGTCTCTATGTGGCCCTGTGATGGACTTGCGACCCGTCCAGGGTGTCCCCCGCCCCTTGCACAGTGATTGCTGGACATGGGCACCAGCGACCCCCGTGACCCAAAATGGAATAAACGGGTAAAGATAATGGATGGATGGATGGATGACATATTTGCTGGTGTTTTGATTATTGTTCTGTACTGATCTAAGTGAATGTTTAATATACATTTTTTTGTTTTCTTGGACACATTGCTCAGTTTTGTCGTTTGAAAGCAATAGCAAGAGAAGCTAAAACTGCTGCTCCAACAACACTCACATTCTGTATTTCTTTTCAAAGACAAGTTAAAAAGTTCCCCAGAATCGTCTTTGTTTTTGGATTTTTGCTGCAATAGTTTTTCACTGATGTGATGTTTTACAGTCCTAGTGGTTTTCAGTTTTTAAGTAATTGTCCTTAACCTTTACAGTGACTAAAACATGTAACTGTCTCAGATATCCTGTCTCATAGATTCATTTTCTTTCTTATACTCATCGTAGGCACCTCGACTCGTTCAGGACTGTAAAGATAAACCAACATCACTAGTGGTTAGAGAGACAAGTCAGGCGCCGTCCACACAGCAGCAGCCGCAGCAACAGCAGCAACAGCAGCAGCAACAACAACAACAACAGCAGCAGCAACAACAGCAGCAGCAACAACAGCAACAGCAGCCGCAGCAGCAGCAGCAACAACCTGCAGCTTCCCCATCACAACCCTCCAAGCCTGGAGAGCAGCCCAAGGTTAATCCTACCACTCCACCTATTCAACCACGAGGTAAAGTCTGAGCCAATCCAGCTGCTAAATTATTCTCTGTGATGAACTAACTCGTGATAAACTTGCACCAACTAACAAGTGGAATCTAAGACGGGGTTTAAACTATTCCCAGTTAAAGTATGCAATGCAACGACAGCTTTATGGCCATGCTAAGAAAAAAAAAATTAAAAGCCATAAAATGAAGAGAATAAAGTCGAAAAAAGTCTTAATATTACGAGAATAAAGTCATACGAGTCTTTTTGCATCTCTCATGTTGTTGTTGTTTTTGGGGTTTTTTCCCCACAAATCGGATCCACGATGCAACATGTCAATCAATCCAGTAGGCGTGTCAGCAAATGACCAATCCGAAGCTAAATGAGTCGTGATATTATCCGAACTCCGACAGGTTTACCGCATTTTAACTGTGGTAAAATGAAGAATGTTGAGCATCTTCTTAAGTTATACTTCGGTATTGGTTTTACAAATAAGGAGACAGTTAATCTGTAGCACATCAGCATCAGATTATTATCAGTATCAGGACTAACCTGCTTACAGTAAGGTGGTACGCTCTGATGGGCTGCAGCAGCTCTCTGCAGGCAAGGAGCATTTAGCTACGGATTGGTAATTTTGCTGACACGCCTACTGGATTGATTGACAGGTCTCGTCATGGATCCGACTGGTGGAAAAAATAAACGAGCTGTTTAAAAAAAAAAAAGTCTTGTACAACTTTATTCTCGTAATAGTACGACTTTATTCTTGTAATTTTATGGCTTTTAATTTTTTTTCTTAGCGTGGCCCTAAAGCTCTGTCGTATAATGCAGAACGGCTTCTGATTTTCTAAAGGAATTTATTAAAGCATGAAAGTTTTTACTGAAGATAACATTTTTCTTTGTTTTGTTGAGTTTTGGGGTGAATTGAGTGCACAAAAGACGAGAGCTTTTATCATTTTTACCAGGGTCTCTGATTCTGGTTAGCTTTGTAGAGCTCGAGTAGAGTGCTGTATGAACGTGTGTATGGATGAATAAATTAGGGCACAGATTGTGTTGTAAAGCTCTTTGAGTAGCCTGGTTGGCTAAAAAGGTACTTACCAGTATATACTGGTAAGTACGGTACATTTACTCACATGTCAGAAATAATCTGCTGTTTCTATGTCCTACATGCAAACATTACTAATACTGACATGAAAAACCAATCACATTACAGTAGTCCCTCATTTATCGTGGGGGATCCAGACCCTGAAGACCCACAATAAGTGAAAAACCGCAATAAGTGAAAAACCGCGAAGTAGGAATAGTAGTACAAGTAGTAAGTAGTAGTTTATTTTATTATTTATATACAGGTCCTTCTCAAAAAATTAGCATATTGTGATAAAGGTCATTATTTTCCATAATGTAATGATAAAAATGAAACTTTCATATATTTCAGATTCATTGCACACCAACTGAAATATTTCAGGTCTTTAATTGTTTTAATACTGGTGATTATGGCATACAGCTCATGAAAACCCAAAATGCCTGTCCCAAAAATTTAGCATATCATGAAAAGTTTCTCTAAACAAGCTATTAACCTAACCATCTGAATCAACGACGTAACTCTAAACACCTGCAAAAGATTCCTGAGGCTTTTAAAAACTCCCAGTCTTGTTCATTACTCAAAACCGCAATCATGGGTAAGACTGCCGACCTGACTGCTGTCTAGAAGGCCATCATTGACACCCTCAAGCAAGAGGGTAAGACACAGAAAGAAATTGCTGAACGAATAGGCTGTTCCCAGAGTGCTGTATCAAGGCACCTCAGTGGGAAATCTATGGGAAGGGAAAAGTGTGGCAGAAAACGCTGCACAACGAGAAGAGGTGACCGGACCCTGAGGAGGATTGTGGAGAAGGGCTGATTCCAGAGCCAGCATGCACAGGCGTGTGCAGGAAATGGGCTACAGGTGCCGCATTCCCCAGGTCAAGCCACGTTTGAACCATAAACAGCGGCAGAAGTGCCTGACCTGGGCTACAGAGAAGCAGCACTGGACTGTTGCTCAGTGGGCCAAAGTACTTTTTTCGGATGAAAGCAAATTTTGCATGTCATTCGGAAATCAAGGTGCCAGAGTCTGGAGGAAGACTGGGGAGAAGGAAATGCCAAAATGCCAGAAGTCCAGTGTGAAGCACCTACAGTCAGTGATGGTCTGGGGTGCCATGTCAGCTGCTGGTGTTGGTCCACTGTGTTTTATCAAGGGCAGGGTCAATGCAGCTAGCTATCAGGAGATTTTGGAGCACTTCATGCTTCCATCTGCTGAAAAGCTTTATGGAGATGAAGATTTCATTTTTCAGCACGACCTGGCACCTGCTCACAGTGCCAAAACCACTGGTACAGTGAGGAAAATAAGTATTTGAACACCCTGCGACTTTGCAAGTTCTCACACTAAGAAATCATGGAGGGGTCTAAAATTTTCATCTTAGGTGCATGTCCACTGTGAGAGACATAATCTATAAAAAAAAAAAAACAGAAATCACAATGTATGATTTTTTAAATAATTTATTTGTGTGTTACTGCTGCAAATAAGTATTTGAACAGCTGCCAATCAGCAACAATTCTGGCCCTCAAAGACCTGTTAGTCCGCCTCTAAAAAGTCCACCTCCACTCCACTTATTATTCTAAATTAGAAGCACCTGTTTGAGGTCGTTAGCTGCATAAAGACACCTGTCCACCCACACAATCAGTAAGACTCCAACTACTAACATGGCTGAGACCAAAGAGCTGTCCAAAGACACCAGAGGCAAAATTGTAGACCTCCACGAGGCTGGAAAGGGCTACAGGGCAATTGCCAAGCAGCTTGGTGAAAAAACATCAACTGTTGGAGCAATTATTAGAAAATGGAAGAAGCTAAACACGACTGTCAATCTCCCTCGGACTGGGGCTCCATGCAAGATCTCACCTCGTGGCGTTTCAATGATCCTAAGAAAGGTGAGGAATCAGCCCAGAACTACACGGGAGGAGCTGCTCGATGCCCTGAAGAGAGCTGGCACCACTGTTTCCATGGTTACTGTGGGTAATACACCAAGACGTCATAGTTTAAATCATGCATGGCACGGAAGGTTCCCCTGTTTAAATCGGCACATCCAGGAGAACCAAGGACGCTCACTTGTCTGTTCTTTAAAGTTCTTTCATTTAATACTTTGACACAGTTTTTATAGAGTACTTTTGGGCTCGTACTCTGGAGGCACATCTGTGAGTTTTTGTCATACAGCAAAGGACCGCTATCTTTTGTGAAGCCAGTGGTCAGTGTCACATTAGGTACTGGGACTGTTGGGTCCGGCAAAACCTTTCTTTCGTGGAGTAGTTGCAGGAGACGCCTCTCTCCGGCCGTCATCCTCTCTTTCAAGAGGTCCAGGAAGCGCTGCACAAGTCTAATGGACCTGACTCCTAGCAGAGAAACAACGGCCTGGGTGTTGGAAAAATCCAGTCCAGCTGCCTCCACCAGATGTTTCACAGTCGTTGTCTTGGACCTGCACAACATCTCCGACAATCCTGGTATTGTGCCGCGACACACATCCAGTCTGGACCCACATACTAAAGGCTCTTCTAAAAACCAATGCAGAGAATTATGCGCCTGTGAATGATATAGTTTAAAAAGTCCACAGGATTTAAAAACACCTTGATAAAACTGAGGCAATCCCTTTAAGTTTAAAAGACTAAAATCAGTTAAAAACAGAGCAGCATCCAGCCCCAGTAAATTGACACGTCTGAGGATACAGCTGGCCACATCCCTCCACACGGGAGATCCAGTCATGTATTTCTGAAGAAACTGTAAGCGAAAAGTTGCTGTTCTACAGGCCAGGTGGACAAGGCCCTGACCCCCCTCCTCTCTTGGTAAAAGCAATACAGACTGTGGCACCCAATGTCGACTATTCCAGAAGAAGTTGACCATTTCTGACTGTATTTTTGCAAGCAGGCCAGATGGTGGGTCTAAAACAGATAATTTGTGCCACAGCTGTGATACAACAAGGTTGTTTAAAACCAGCACTCTGCCTCGGTAAGACATTTGAGAGTGCAGCCATCTCCATTTTGACATTTTATTATTCCGTTTTTGCTCAATGTTTTCCCAGTTTTTATTTACAATTTCTTTACTGCCTAAAAACTCACCAAAATATTTAAAACCGTCTTTTTGCCAAACGAGCCCTTGAGGGGGAACTGGGAGCCCACATGACCACTCCTGTAGTGGACTAGGCCTGATGTCAAAACTGACCAGATGGACAGAAACTGTCATTTCATTGATTTGAATCCAGAAATACAGTTTGACCCATCCTGAGACTTTCTTTCTTGAATTAATCAAGTGGAAAAGACAATTCTCTATGATCATTACTATTTTACAAATGTTTTGATAATCAAATTGTTTTGGTTCAAACAATGTCTACATGTTGAAGTGAACTAATCATTTTTATTTACTTAAACAGTAGTAATGATTTTTATTCCTCAATTCAAAGTGAAATCAAGTTAGAGTACGTTACAGAGTAATGATTCAATTTTTGATCGTCTGCTTTGAAGTGAGCAAGTTTGTAAGAGTGTGTCAAAGTTCAGGTTTCGGTCAACTGAAAAGTTTACTGAAAAGAAATGTCATGTTTAACTTTTACAGCAAGATACTTGGTGAGAGGCGCCACTAAGTCTGGTTTTCTCCAACAATCTTTCTATCTGTTCTTAAACAATCCTTGACTTTCAATAACACTTTACATCACAAACCACACCTCTGCTTTGGTCCATCGACCAATCAAAAAGCTCTCAAATGAACCGGAAGTAGAGCCCATTTAAATGTGGCACTTCTCAGTTCAACGGTAGAGTTCAAGAGTTTTTGGAATTCAGATGCAGAGAGTTTTGGAGTTCCAGAATGCAAACGCAGGCATTCATGGAAGCTGCTGTATTAGAATCAAGCTGAACCAGAGACAATTTTGGGAATTATAACTTCTGTTTGGATAACCTCGCACGACTCTCGAGGTATTTAGCTGTTCTCACTGAGACGCTGAACAGTGGTTGGAA